ACGGCTGGTATTTTAAAAAAAGTGGTAATTCAGAATTATTTCCTTTTTGAACACCCATACCAAAAAATAATCTAACAGTTGCTAAAATGAAAAAAAATTAAACAAAACTCTTAAAAAGGTTCCCACTCGAAAATGGTATCCGTACCTCCACTAATTCGGTATACGTAAGGTTTAAAATAAATTTTAAAAATGAATAACCTTTATTGAAGCTTTCATATGAAATGTAATTGAAAGCTAAAAGATTTAAAATTTACTCTTTTCAAGCAAAATACTCTGGCGTATTTCAAACAGAAATTATATCGATCGGAATCGATTTTTTTTTTCAGTAGATCAAAATGGCCATTTTTGACACATTTGTAAACAAAAGTTAATTCTCGGTTTTAAAAATCTTGCAAAAATAAATTTATATATATAAAACATTTGGAGAAAGATTAGCAAATTTAAAGTTAAATTAATCTGATTCGAAATAAATATTACTTAATAATAGCATAAAGTGTTGTATACAAGCATTTCTTAACCACGAGGTCTCGTTTTTCTGACGTACCGCAAAAAGGGGCAAAAAAATTAGTAAAATTTGCTATGCTAAAAAAGTTAGTACAACCGCTGACGCAAGAAAAACAAGTTTTTTAATCAAAATTTGAAATGATTTAAAAAGGAGTAAAAAATGTAATTACATGATCAAAAAATACTTTGGTCCTTCCACTTAAATCTTAATTAATAACAAAAATATTTTGATGATAAAACTATTTTTGGAGCATGCTTTCATCACGGTATGCTCATTTTTTTAGCGATTTCATGGACTTATCTAATAAGTGCATAAAAAAAAATGAAGAATATTTCTTGGAGCTTTAAATTTTACTTTTAATTCAAAGCTAATAGATTTTTTAAATCTAATATTTCCAATAAGCAAAATACTTTGTATTTCAAACCGTTTAAACTTAGGACTTTTTTCTCAGTGTCATTTTAAAAAATCTATATAAATTCGTCCATATTGAGAGAATTAACATATTTTTAAAAATCTTTCAGAAATAAAATATACTTTTTTGAAACGTTGAGAAAAATTAGCTTAAGCTGAAATGAAACAAAAATATAAACTTTTATAATATTTTAATTTTTAAAGCTTACAATTATTCAACAACTCCCAGTATTTAAATTTAAAAAAAGAATTAATTTTTTTTTAATGTGTAAAAAAACGTGACGAATTTTGTAAATACACCTTATCAGAAAATAATTGATAATTTTATCTAAATTAAAAAAAATGAAATGAGTGATGGGGTAACAGATTAAGGAAAATATATTTAAAGATTTAAAAAAAAAAAAAAAAAAAAAAAGTTTCAAAAATAATTTCATTCATTTGTGAAGTCTTGAAAGTTTCATTAAACCCAACAATCCTGATTTTTGCAAGAATTTCCAAATCAAGTTGTTTTTCACCGCAAAAATGACGCTTAAAATTTCTCGTACAAATTTAAGGTCCCACGTTGCCGACAGAAAAATAAGATTATTTTTATCCCAAATTGTCAAGAAAGATGATAGATAATTTTCCTCTTAATAACAGATTTTGAGCATAAAATTTTGTTTTTAGTAATAGTTTGGGAAGCATTTTTTCATCATATATCCTCTTTTTTTTTTTTTTTTAGAGAATTTTTGGAGGTACGTACTTTGTTAACATTAAGTTTTTTTTTTCTTGATCAATAATATGTACGATGGAAAGTGAAATAATATCAATCGCTGAAAATATATTCGAACATGTTTATGCTGTAAGAAACAGCACACTAAAATTAGTTCATATTATTTTTACAGTTGGGGTGGTGGGCAAATTTCCAGAGTGGGGCAGGTCCCCAAAGCGACAGACTGAGCGAAATGGGTATTACTATATCGAGCGACTGATGATGATATATCTTACTTACTAGTCATCATATAAGGCGCGGATGCAGACAGGTGAGTGAGTACCAATTCACACACACTCAACTCAAGCAAAACAAAGTACTTTAACTTTTAAATATTTCAATAAAGAAATTTTATTTGTTAAAAACCCAAATAATCATAATTTAACCAGGATCTTGAAAAATATTTAGTTTTTCTGAAAAAACTAAATATTTTTCGTTATATGAAAAACTTTTTCATGTATGTAACTAATGGTGACTTCCTTAAATTATTTAAAAATATTTTTACTTTTTATTCATTGATTCTGTGATAAATTTAGTCTTGTCAATTCTAGTAATGTTCAAGTTCACCCAAGATGACTCGAGAGCCACTCACTGTAGGTGGGGTTACTAAGTAAAAAAGATGTTTATGATGAATATATGTGTGAAATGAAATACGAGTTGGCACCAAGTGAAAATTATGAAGATAGGTATAATGGTTGACCCCTTGACTTGAAGAGATACAGATTGTAGTTTTCAAAGAAGCATCCATTTAGGAATAGTAGTTCTTGGGAGAAGCGGGAGTTGTGGAATTTTTGGTATTTACACTACCAGTCTCATTCCTGATGCTCTTTCTTTAAGTAGTCAACTGGCCAATGACAGACAGTACGATTGACCATGATGAGCATTAGGTCAAAAAGGGAGACGAGTGTAATAGTAAAAAATTACCAAATTTCCTTATCACCTTTGAAATACGGAGGAAATGAGGGCGACTTGACGCCATGGTAGTACCAATGCGTAAAGGTCTGAATTGATGGAACTCAAAGTGATGAAGTTGATCTGAACATTTGCCATAGAAATAGCGATACATTGTTGCAACTGTAGGAAAGAGGTCGCAGAGTGGAGAATATGTCTACCACAAAACCCCGTAAAAACGATTTTTTTTAACTATCAACTTATCAAGGCTATAATGTGGATTAAGCAGTTCCAGTCCAGATATGACAACAGTACTCCATTTTATCCGCCTCTTTTCATTTTCAAGATGATGAAAGCATAGAATGAATCTGGAGCAATAGCTGTTTTTCAAGCGTTTTTAAAAATTTATGGGTTACACACGAATTCCACAAGAGGTCTGGAGTGAACTTGAGACACAATAGGAGTTCCAGTCACACATGGCGCCACTTGAGAAGCGCAAGTATTCAGTGATTGGAGAGAAAAAGTTAAAGTAAACAAAAAGCCACGATTCATATGTAAATGAAAAATGCCTAGAATAAAATAAAAATGTTGGTCATCAACTGCTGCACCCTCCATAATTTTTTCAATTTGAACCTCATCCTGCGCAAAATTGTAGGTTGCACCATCAGTACATGCATGCATACAAACAAATTCAAATTTCTTCTCTTCGTACCATGGTTATTTACAACAACAAAAATTAAACTAAAAATGGAGATTTCCTTTTCCAAGTTTCTTTCATCATTAGTTGTTCCAAATCTGTACTTCCCGTAAGTCAGTTTTTCAGTACATCATCACCTTTTTTTTTTGTGATTAATAGTAAGAATGCTTTGTATGCCAATTTTACTATAAATTTTATTAGAGTATTTCGGTAAATATTCGTACCAAGGAAAAATATGTTGCGCTTATCTTGAAACTCACTCTTCCAAATTCTGATCATTTGAAGCCATAGGAAACATGCAAGTGCAACTCTCTCACACTCACCAAGCTCTCCTACGGATGATTCTTAAGATATTTTTAAACGGTTTCAAAAAGCAACGAACAGGAAAAACAGGTCATCAGATGAAAAAAAAAAAAAAATCCTGTCCAAGAGAAAGTCAAGTTTTAAAAATGTTTATTGTTTTAAATGACAATTTCTTTCTTCGCAGACATTCGGCATATTGTTGATTTATACAAAAAAAAAAAAAAAGTTTGGGACAAATGTAATTTTTATTTAATTCGTGTAAAAATAAAATTAAAAAAGTTTGGAGTCTTAATTTTCCAATAAACATGGATGAAACTTGAGAACTTGCAAAATAAAAAATAAATAAATTATAAATACTTAGAAAAGAAAAATATTTTTAATTTGGAAATACCATTAATCCCAGCAAAAATCCCAGATTTGAGAAAAATATATTTGCTAATTTTTCACCAAGTGGAGAAAAAATATTTCGGTGTAATAAATAAAGAAAAGATATAAATTTTAGGTTGAGCAACATAACAATGAAAGAATATATTTAAAAAAAAGTCTTTTGTTTTTTAAAGAACAAAAACAAAAAAAAAAAAAAAAAAGATTCACAAAAAGTCAAAACGAAATGTTTTCCTTAATCTTGATTCTTGTTGCATTTTTTTTTTTTTTTATACAGACTTTCACTTAGAATTTTCAAATTCAATATAAAAAAAGCAATCAAAGAACTTTAAAAACCATACCCAATTTGATTTAAAACTTTTAATGTTTAAAAAAACAAAAAAAATTTCTAAAAATACTTTTTCTTTCTTCAGATCGCTTAAAATATTTTTTTTTTTATTTGCCTTGTTTTTCTGTTTCTTTGTTAAATCATCTCTTTAAAAAAAGGGGGGGAGTGAAAAAACAAACAAAAAAAGTAGTAAAAGTGGAAAAAAGTCCTATTTAAAATTTTTAAACAACACAATTATATAAAAAAAGAATCAGTTCTTAATTTAAAGGGTTTTTACTTTCCCACCGTCTACTAATTATATAGTATCCGGGTCGATTCAAATTATTTTTCTAAAACTTATGATTTAATAATTTTGAACGATAAACAGAGAATTTTTGAAAACAAATCAAAAGAAATTTAAAACTTTTTTTTTTTTTTTTGTATGAAACTTTAACGAAGTTGTTAGTTACAACTTTTTTTTTCTGAGATAGTTTCAAAATATTTTATTCATAGTTCAGTTGTATAGAAAAGAAGTGAAAAACTTTTAACAACTTTTTTTTTTAATCTTTGTAATGTAATTGACGAATGGTTAACCCTAAATTTAAAAATATTGCTTATTTGTTATAATCGGCAAAAGCTGGCAGAAAATCAACGAAAATTGATTATTATTACCATTTTCTTTTAACTTTTAAACTCGTGTAAATTATAAAATAATAAATTTATAAAATAAACGAGATGAATCAACACTTACGGAACAGCAGTTCTTCTGCTTTTTCTCGGCTAAGATTGAAATGGTAAAACGCAACACTTCTATCAGCTTCCTTCAGAGAAATTGTTTGTTTTTCCAATATTTCATCCACGTTTTTAGCTGATTTTAAGGCATGTAGATTAAAAGTACATTCCTTTTCTATATTAGCATAAATTGGTGAATCATCCATGGTGCACAGATTTTTTTTTCACAAAAAGTTTTAAAACTTTTTACTTCCTTGTTGTTTCTTATACAAACCACATAGGACACTTCGTCGAACCCATCATCAGCGTCAAGTAGAAAAGTTGACGACGGTGTCCGTTTAAAATCAGTCCTTTTCATATTTAATTCCGTACAAGATCTCTCTCCCCTTCAGGATGTGGATGATCATGGCACTCTAAAGCTTCCTGTCATTTGTTACTTAACAGTAATACTTTCCCCATTATAACCCCTCTTTCTCTTTCTGATACTTGTTCTTTCATCAATTTGCACAGAATTATTAAGATGTTATGCACGGCTTTACTTTGCTCCCCCTACCGTCAGTCTATCATGTGAGTATTAAATTCTTCAAGTCTCTTTTCCTCATTATGCATCTAAAAAATCTAAGGTGTCTTTTTCTGATTGTTATGAGTAGTTAGTCTGCCAAAATAATCACTAGGACTATAAAAGGAAGGAAATAAGCTTTCTCTTCCTCTTTTTGTCCTAGAATGTGGTAGGTGCAGGATATTTTTCATTTCCTCCAGGGAAATTTCTTTTCTTGAGTAACCATCTGCTAAGCTTCAAACCCAGGCATGTGGTATATCACAGACACATTTTCTAACAAGAAAGCCGATAATGTTTTTCTTCTTTTTCAGCTATGTGCACACAAATATATTTTCTCTCTTCTTATATTATTATTCTTTATATAAAAATATATGTTAAATTCCTCCTTGTGTTAAAATTTATTTCCTTTTGAAAATATTGAATTCAATTTCTTTTAAAATTTTCAACCTCATTTTCGTCCATTACAACTTGTAACAGCTATCTGCTATATTGGTTACAATCATACAGATGTATGCTAGGATTTCTTCCTACTTACTAATAATGGATAATTCTTTTCACACATATTTTCTTTCTTGCCTTGAAGTTAGAAGGTTATAAGCACTTGATTGTATCCTGTTTGCACATGAATCTTTTCTTTTTAATGTCTTATAATTGCTTTGCTTTACTTTGCTATTATTTTATATTTGCCTTGCCTTTTATTACATTATTCATTTTTTGTATTATTTTGCTTTTTTCTTGTTTTTTTATTATCATTTCAACCAGCAAGGCAATAAAGCCACTAAGACACAATGGGTTACTGAGTGTGAAATAATATGAGAAAAAAACATTATTAATGAGAGAGACTAATAAAAGAACAGGAATTAAGAAAACAGAAAGTAATAATTGATATTACATTTAAATTTTTGAAGTTCAACGTTGACTAGAAAGCAAGAAACCAGAAGAGAGTTCCACAAGTGAAAAGTGTGATAGAAGAAACTGTTAGCATAAAACTTACAGTTATATCTAGCCATTTCAACTGTAAAATAATAGGATCTTGCTGCCAATCTTGAATTGTGCTTAAATTCATAAAGTCTAGATATAGAGGAAAGTTCATCAGAACAATTACCATGAAAATATTTATAAAAAAGACACAGGGAAGCTACATTACAGTGGTGAGAAAGTGACTGAAGCTGAGATGCCAAGTCAGGATCAATAACTTTGCAGATTCTTCTTTGTACTTTATCAGGAACCTTTAAATACATATCAGAAGCACTAGACCAGATATGACAGCAATTTTTATTATTTTTGTTATTGTGTTAAATATAATCTGGTTAAAATAAAATTCATAAATAATTTTTTTTGATGGTTAGGTAAGAAATGTTAAATAATAGTTTCAGACTTTCTGAGGCTGACCTTGGGATCAGCTGGTAGACAAAGTAGGGATGTTGGTTTTAATTGGATGAGCCAAATATGGGAATGTTAGAGTTATAAAGAGTTTTCAGTGAGTTAAGTTTTATGCCTTGAAGAATGCAGACGTGTTAATTTCATGTTCCAGGGAACTTGCTCCCCAGTCGGGGTGATAGAGCGACCCCACTGGCTAGTTAGAAATGTACATGTTGACGTGTTTAATAAAATGGATAAATTAAAAATCCTTTTTGTTGACGTTCTCATTTTACCTCTGAACAAACCAACTAGCAATCATCCGTCTGAGAGAAGAAAGAGAGAAAGACAACTTTATTATGATCGCCTCAAGACCGTCAACCAAAAAGACCTTCCCAGAGAGAGGGGGTATACAACAATTGCGAATCTTATCAGATTCACTTATAAATGTCTGCTTATTCAACATGCTACTCTTTTCTATTCTCTTTAGATCTTTGTTTTTTCAAGTCTAATTTTTTACTTGTGATGAACCTGTTCAGGTTTTATTGCTATATAGGATGGCAGACATCATTTAACATTATTGTTGTATAGATTAATAAGAACGTAAGACTAAATCATTCATATCTAAAATTTATTCAGACTTTGTCATTGTTATGGTCCAGGTTAGGACCAAAGAAAAACAACCCGAACACAAGAGTAGAAATAACGAAGGTATATTACACAAAATAATAATACAAGATGTGGAAAGTGTTAATATGACTGTCAGTCTGGTTTGGAGTGAACTACTATCGGCTCGACTCGATTCGACCCTCTTTCTTGAGAGGCGTAGTATACATAGTATTAGGAAAAGTTCATTCTGTAGTTATAGGTAAGGACCCATGACAGTCATTTAATATAAAGAAGCATGATTTGGGGGCTTTCTTTAAACATGAATAATCTCACAATTTCAATCTGGTACTTTAAAAATCAATACATCTTGTTCTAAATGCAAAAGAGCTCAAAACATCAAAATAAGAAATGGTGATGTGCCTTTGTATAATTAATCACACTTAATTTGCATATGGCAGCCTCTTTCCTTTAGACATGGTGAGAAGTGAAAACATAAAAAGAAAAATGAAGAAACAATCTATTTTGCATTTTAGGCCTAAAATGCAATATTTGGTGACACATTCAACCTGAGAGTAAGTATGTTCCAGAGAACCAAATATCCATGAAAATTGAAATACCAATTACATGATTATCAACACTAATTTGCATTAAGCATTCTGATTGGTTATGCCCATCTGGCATTTGAGATCCATACAATTGCTATAAATAACATATTCAAATGAATGAAACTATGCATGCCTATTTACATATATTTATGCATAGCTTGTATATATCATACATCAACTAGCAAAAAATAATGAAAGCTGAGAAAAATGGCTGTTGAAACCTCCTGATATGTGGACTGAACAATTACAAAAGTGTTCATCTATGAAACTCTGGAATTGATGTACTTGTTACTATCAAGCCAAGGAAATTGCACAATGGAGATAAGTTCAAATTCAACTCAGCACAGTATGCTGCATATGTCAAATGCACAGGTGAATTACTAAGCATGAGAGTCACCTAAGACAGGCATGTGTGACCCACTCCATTGGATACAGGCTAAGACTTATACAGTGCTGAATCTTCCTACCTGAACGATCAATTCTACATTGCAGAATATGTGAGGAAGAGAGTAAACGACCAACTCTTGGAGTCAAAACTCATAACAGTAAATAAAAAATAATATATCAAAATATATTGCTGCATGGGTGAAATGAACTGAACTGAATGTAAAAAGAACAAAAGAAATATAAAACAAAAGGAAAGAGAAAAGCAAAAAGAGAGAACCTTATTTTATTTCGGGCAAATAACTAAAGGTAAGTGGGCTTTAACAATTCATATCAGATATATGATGTATATATCTTTCCACACAGAAATGTATAGTAAAACCTTTTTCCATGCACTATTTTGCATTAATGTTTTCATGTATCATCTTGTTATAATTAAATCTTATTAAATTATATATATTTCCGTTTGTTGTTCATTGCTGTTAATTGTTTCTCCTCATCTGTGTATTTGAGTCTGTAAGAGAATCCTTCCACTACAGAGTAGTAAACCTTGGTAATCTTCTTTGACAACTAGTTGTTTTTTTTTTTATTATCTTTTCTTTTTAAATTTTGTATTATGGCAATTGGTCTGTAACATAAATTGGGGGGGGTCATCTGGAATTCTCTATCAGTGAAAATACATGTGACGACCAACAGTGACAAACAGACAATAAAATAAGATGGCAGTTATGGAAGCTTTTAAGAAAACCATCCTGAAAACAACTAAACAAATTGTGGAAAATGATGTGCTAAAAATAGGGAAACACAGAGAATTAGATATTAGAAAGGTGGTAAGAAAAGCAAGCTTAATGAGAGTAGTGATTTTCCAAGCACAGCTTAGGTGTGGCACAAGGCTGAAAGTATGGGGCACCCAGTGAGGATCGAACTTACTACTCAGTCATAATTGTTCTAGCGAGACAAGCTTGTTAACCATTACACCGCTTCAGGGTGCCCAAGCTTAATGAGAATAATAGTTAAGCATATGCTCAATAACAACATATTTGAAGAGGAAATGCTAAATCAATTACCAGTAGATGTGCGGGAAATGTCACAGTCACAATTTAACCTGGAAAAGGCCAAAATAGACGCTAGGATAGAATTAGAAAAGGTACATATTGAACAGGAAATCAGATTCAAAGAATTATAGATAAGTAGACAGGACAGTCAGGTAAAGCAGCAAGAGTTTGACCTTAAAAAACAAGTTAGGCTAGTGCCTAAATTTCATGAGGACAAAGTAGATAACTGTCACATTTTGAGAAGACAACAATTAATTTAAACTGGCTGAGGAGTGCCTGGCCAATGTTATTAGAGTCTTATATAGGAAAGCCCAAAAGACTTATGCATCTCTTTCAGTGGAAGACTGCAGAATATGATTTAGTAAGGTCATTGATCCTAAAAAGTTATGAGCTTGTTCCTGAGGCATATCACCAAAAATTTAGAAAGTTAGAAGCCCAAACTTATGCAGAGTTTTTAAGACAGAAGAAAATCTATTTTGACCGATGGAATATGGCAAAGAATGTCAAAAACAAATATGAAAAACTAAAACAGTTAATACAGATTGAAGAGTTCAAAAACTGTATAGCCATTAAAATTCATGTAGACAAAAGAAAGACAGAAACTGCCACAATAGCAGATGAATATATCCTAACTCACAGGAGGAGCAAAAGCAAACCTAATTTAAGAACCCAGACTCCTAGTAAAGTGAAACGCATGAGTTATGAAAAAGGCAGGAATATACAATTAGTTAGAGACAACTGACAATCAGGTGGGAAAGTAAAGACAGGGCATGGTATAGCAAACTGT